CCAAGAGGCGGCTCCTATACTGTAGAGGAAGAAGGAGTGGGGAGGGTAGAGCAGATGAAGGAGCCGGGTGGGGGGACAGTGGGTGGCGCTGTCCCCCAGCCGGGCAGGGAGGCCTCTAAGAGAGTGTTATCTCCCGGGAGGGCAGGGTTCTGCTGGCCCCTGTGGCTTATGGAGGGAAGGGTCACTCCCCATAGAGCCAGTGTCCAGAATGAGGACCCCGGGGCACTGCTCAGCCCTCGGGGCCAGGATGGCCAGGGCCAGCCCAGCGCTGCCCACGGCCTGCCTCTGACCCAGTGGAGCTCAGGAGATGGCACGGTGCTAGGGATGGAACTGGCGTTGGCCATGTGCACAGCAGGTCCGGCCCTTTGGCCCCAACACCCGTTTCTTAAGTAACTTCAATGCAAAACTGATAAACAGGCCCGAGCACTGCTGCCTTTGGGGGCGCCCATTTTGTTCCCCTTCTCATGGTCTCTGCCAGGCTTCTGAGCCAGCTGAAGGGATGGGTGCCCGCATACCCCTTCCTTGGGGGCTGCTCTTATGGCCCCGTGCCAACCTGCACCTGTCCTGGGTTCCCCCGAGAAACCAACCTGACCCAGGGCGGAACCCAGGGCAGCCTGAGCAGGGCCAGGTGGCGAGGAAGAGGAGGGGGAGAGGAAGCAGAGCCACAGCACCCCGAGGGGGGGGCAGGGCAGGGGCACGGGAAGGCCTGGCTGATGCATGGATGCAGAGGAGAGCCAACTGCGTGTCTGTACCTCACCATACCCATCCCCCCGCCTTGTAGTCATGGCCCCTTGCTCAGCTCCTCTGCTTCCCTTGGGGTGCCCAGGAGTTGGGGTTCACCAGCAAAGCCCCAGGGAAACTCTCACTGGGCCCCTCCCCGGGTCCCACAGAACCTGTCTGCACACCATCAGCTCTGTGCTCCCGCCTCAAGATGTTGCCCCTGCCATGGGGGAGGGGAGCCACAAAACCAGCATCTTTCTTTTTTCTTCCTAAAACCTTTTTTCCAGGGGGGCTGGAGCAATAGCACAGTGGGTAGGGCATTTGCCTTGCACGCGGCCCACCTGGGTTCGATTCCCAGCATCCCATATGGTCCCCCGAGCACCGCCAGGAGTAATTCCTGAGTGCATGAGCCAGGAGTAATCCCTGTGCATCGCCAGCTGTGACTCAAAAAGCAAAAACAAAACAAGACAAAAAACCACAACCTTTTTTCCACTTTATTTAAACACATTCGCTTACAAAGTTGTTCATGATGTATGTGTTACAGTCATTCAGTATTCCCACGCCAGTCTCACCACCAGTGGAAAGTTCCTTCCACCATTGTCCCCATTTTTATGACTTCCCCCAAGTAAAATTTAATGTAATGCATTTTAGAGGTCAGAGTATAAAACTTAGTTATGTCAGGCCTGGCGTGACAGTACAGCAGGTAGGGCCTTGAATGCGGCAGACCCGGGTTTGATTCCCAGCATCCCATATGGTCCCTGAGCACCGCCAGGAGTAATTCCTGAGTGCAGAGCCAGGAGTAACCTCTGGGCATCGCCGGGTGTGACCCAAAAGAAAAAAAAACCCACAAAACTCAGTTATGTAAATGAGACTAAGCAGTATGCTCTAATGTATTAAATGATTTGAATTTCTTTTCCTTTAAAAAAAATTTTTAAATTGAATCACAGTGAGATAGACCAGCTTTTAAACATGGATGTGGACGGGGGGTTGTGGTTGGGGGTGTGGAGTGATGGTTCCGAGGGCAGGGCTGACCGAGGGTTGATCCCAGGCAACACATATGGTCCCTGCGTGATCCCTGAGCACTGCCAGGGTGTGACCTCAGAACAAACAAGCAAACACAAGCACATTCACACACCTCAAGACTCAGAGTCTTGCCTGAAGGCTGGAGGCTGAGCTTTGGCGTGCATGCAAAAGCTCAGGGGAGCACCCCTGTCTCGGGGACCATCCTCCCCATGCCCCCAAGCCCCAGAGAGTCTCTGCTTTAAGGCCTGGGGCCGAGCTGAAGGGAACATCCAGCTGAAGCACTCACTGTCCATGTTGCAGTGTGCCGGGTCCAAGTCCCTGAGCACAGAGTCTGGAGTAAACCCTGAGCATTCCTGAGTGGGGCCCAGTGATCCCCCAATAACAAAATCAAGCTGGAGGGGCCGTGTCAGAGCACTCAAGCCTCTGAGAAGAGGCTCCCACAAGTGGAAACCATTTTATCTTTTTGCTTTTTGGGTCACACCCAGTGATGCACAGGGGTTACTCCTGGCTCTACACTCAGGAATTACTCTTGGCAGTGCCCGGGGCACCCTATGGGATGCCAGGATCAAACCTGGGTCCACCGTGTGCAAGGCAAATGCCCTCCCTGCCATCCTGTCCACCGGCCCCAAAAACTATTTTTATCTCTAAGTCAGCGACAGCCTCAGCACCACCTCCCTACTGGCAGAGACCCCACAGATGCTGGGCCAACCCCAGGGAGAACAGCCTGGGGGTCCCAGTTCTCAAAGGGAGGGTGTCTGAGAACCTGGATAAGCGGAGAGGGGTGTATGGTGGGTAGCAGGCAGGCCCGGGGGCCCAGGGACTGTGCTTGGTCATTGAGTCGCCCAGCTGGGTGCTGGCCCAACCAGCACTGAGTCACCGGCCCAGCTCCCTGCAACAGCTGCGTTAACTGGCTCGAACCCCGCTCCCCAAACCTTTCATCAGAGTGCAGTTGGGGACCCCGGGGGAGTCAGAACTGCGCCAGCGTGGGCCTGGAGCGAGCCTTTCCCTGCTTCTCTCTCCCGCCCTCTGACGGTGCTCCCTCACAGTGCTCCCTCACACCCAGCCACGGAGCACCTTCTACCTCCAAGCACCTCGCGTCCCTCCCAAGCCCTTTATTAGCGGCTCGGGCAGGGAAATGTGCCATTAGTGATTTAATCTCTGCGAGACATTTCTCCCTAATTACTAGTCTAGGATGATAATTAGCAACTGTTAATTCCTGAGAATTAACAAGCTAATACTTAGAGGTAATGGCACCCGGGGAATCATCTCCAAAAACTCGGGGCCACCGCCCTCCTCGGACCTCCAGCTCCGCCCGTGTCAGGACACCCTGAGTTCCAGCCTCTCTCTTCTGGGGACTTAGCGGGGACCCCACGTCTCTGTTTTGGAGGGGGGACAGCGGTTGGAGAAGGCGTCCTTCTTGTTTTTCTTCTCTGGATCTGTAAGTGACACCTGTGCCTTTGAAACGTGTGTCGCATATGGGAGAGTATCAAGGAGAGACTAATACACGGGACCTTATTCCTGGGAGCGTCGAGGTCTTGGGGGTTTATATACCCCTGGTCGAGGAATTCGGCCCATCGCTGAATTGTGCCCCCAGAACATCCCTTGCTTTGTTCCATGCAGAGCATGGCTCACTCCGATGCCCGTTCATTGATAGCACATGCCCTACCCATTCCCTGTGCTTTACCTCTGAGGTCAAGTGAGGTCTGAGGAACTGCAGTTTTGAGGGAGACCTCCCCAAGAAGCCTTTGCTGCCGTCTTCCTCCTCCTGGGAGATACCCCTTCCTGTTGTCCTCAAGTCCTCCTCGGCAAGGAGCCGGAAGTCCATCGAGACCCCTTCTATTCCTATCTCCCAGCTCTGTGCACTCCAGTGGACACCCCCACCATAGACCCCTCAAGCTGGGGGGCTGGGTCCTTCCACACGGGAAAGATGCAAGGCACCAACAATGCACCTTTGTGTATCTTCACCCTGTGTCAGGCACAGTGGGATACTGAATGAATGAATGCATAGAATGAGAGGAAGGGGGGTGGATGACTGAATGAAGGAGTGAATGAATAAATGTGTGAATCAATGAGTGGTGGATGCATAGATGAATGAATATGTGAGTGCATGATGAATGCATGAATGAATGGGCTGATGGATACATGAATGAATGGATGGAGGGGTTGGATGAATGCATGAATGGATAATAGAGTGGATGGATGAATGAAGGGGAGAATGAATTAATTTGTAGATGAATGAGTGGTGGATGCATAGATGAATGGATGGATGGGAGAATAGAGGAGTGAATTAATGAATCTCTGGATGAATGAATGGGAGATACATGAATATGCGAATGAAGATGAATGAAGGGATAGATGGTGAATGAATGAATGGAGGATGCATAGATGATGCGTGGATGAAGGATTGAATTAGTGGATGAACGAATTGTGGATGTGTACATTATGGATGAATGGATGGATATGTGAATAAATGGTTGATGCTTGGATGGGTGGATGGAGTGAATGAATGAATTTGTGGGTGAATGAATAGTAGATGCATAGATGGATAGGAGGATGTGTGAATGAATGGTAGATGTGTACATGAATGGATGGATGATGGATATGTGAATGAATGGTGGGTGCGGGGCTGGGTGGATGAAGGAGTGAATGAATGATTTGTGGATAAAGGACCGGTAGGTGCATAGATGAATGGATGGATGTGTGAATGAAGATGACCGGCCGGAGGGATGGGTGTGGGAATGAATGGTGGATGCATAGATGAATGAATGTGTGTATGAATGAGTGAATGCATAAGTGAATGAATGGATGCTGTTACCCAGCCAAGAGGAGCTTCCAGATAGGACAAGGAAGCCTGCAAGGACCCATGAGAAAATGATACCCAAGGCAAAGAGGCAGAGGGGCCCCTGTTGGGACACGTCGTTAGGGAGCTGGGCTGGTGGTCTTTGGTGGGGGTGCTCCCAGACAGTGCTTAGGGGACCCCCTAGGGCACCCCTCGTGATGCCCAGCCCAGAGGGTGGGACAGTTTCAGGCTGGGTGATGCAGTGCTGGGGATGCCAGGGACACCCCCACTGTCGCTTGGGGTGGGAGAGGCAGGACGTGCGGTAAGGGCACTAATCACGCCCAGGACCCCTGCCTCTCCAGGCTGCTGGACAGCCGGCCTTTATTCGCGGTGGAGGCTGGCGGGCCGACTCCCTGAGCAGTGCTCCGCTTCTCCCGCCCTCAGAGCACGCCCCCTGCCGTTGGAACGCGGTCCTGCCGCCCGTGCGGGGCCATGAGCACGTGCGGGCGCCGGGCGCTGGCGCTGCTGAGCTGCGTGTTCGCTGTGTGCGGGCTGGGCCTGCTGGGCGTGGCCGTGAGCACCGACTACTGGCTCTACCTGGAGGAGGGTGTGGTCCTGCCGCAGAACCAGAGCACTGAGACCAAGATGTGCCTGCACTCGGGCCTGTGGCGCGTCTGCTTCCTGGCTGGTAAGGCGCCCGGGCGGGAACAGCCCACACCCCACCCTCACCCGCTGGCAGGACGCCGGGCAGCTTAGACCAGGTGACCGGACACGTGCATGGCCGGCCCAGTCCCCCCTACCCCCACCGGGATTCTCAAAGGCAGCGGGAGGGTTCAGTCCACTTTGCAAGTGAGGGGAAGGGGAGCGGCAGGAGCAGGGGTGAGGTCAGCCTACAGGAACGAGTTCATCCCCTTCCACTGGATTTCTCTGTCTGGCCATGAAGGGGCAGGGGGAAAAAAAACCAACAAAGATCAAGGGTCACCCCAACGCTGACCCTTCCACCTCTGCAGGACAGCCCTGTCCTCCTACCCTTGCTCCAGGCTTCCACCAGCCCGAAGAGGCCCAGGGTGCCCTGAGCACTGGTTCCCAAGTGCTCTCTGCTGGCCTGATCATGCTTAGAGTAGCCAGGCCCTTGCCCTGGGGAGCCGGAGACCTGCCATGTGGTCACCCAGCCTTTTGCCTCAGGCCCTGGAGCTTAGGTGCATGGGGCAGAGTGAGCCAGGTTCTGGGGGGCACCAGCCTTGGGGTTGGGATGCTGGCCAGGAGAAGGCCAGCACCCTGCTTTGGGGATGGCCCTGAGGAAACTCCGGGCAGTTTGGGGTTACCAGGAGCTGCCTGCCACTGTGGCTCACCAGGCTTTGGGAACGTGCTCCATGACCCCCTGTATCCTACACACACACACACACACACACACACACACACTCGAACACACACACACACATGCACACTCACACACATGCGCACACTCTCATATACACTTATACACATGCACACACACTCATACATACACTGGCACTCACACACATGCACACACGGACACACACACATGCACACACACACCTCCACACACATTCACACATATATTCAGAAACATGCATACACTTACACCCATACACTCTCACGCTCACACACATATGCACAGTCTCACACATGCACTCACACATGCACTCACACACAAACATGCGTGCACACACACATACATGCACACACCCATACACACCCATACACACACATGCACACACGCACTCACATGCACACACATATACGCACGCTCACTCTCACACACATTCACATACTCACATTCACACACTCTCACAAACACACTCATACAAATACACTCATACACATTCACACACAAACACACTCACACTCACACACAAACACACTCACTCTCACACACACAGGTGGGCCTTGGCCAATCTCCCCCTCTATCAGCCGCTTGGCCCCAAGCCCTTTGCTCGCCCTGAGGTGGCCGAGGAGACCCTACTATGCTGGGTGTGGGGGGCTTCTCGGAGCAGGCATGGGGCTAACTGTGCCCGCGAGGCAACCCACATGGTGCCCTGCATGCAGGTGAGGAGCGCGGCCACTGCTTCACCATCGAGGATGTGATGCCCATGAACGCCCAACTGACGTCGGAGTCCACGGTCAACGTGCTCAGTAGGTGTCGGGCCCAGCAACACCGGGGGAGCGACCAGGGTAGCCCGGGGGAACCAGACCCTCTCCCAGTGCTGACGCCTCGAGCTCAGGGGGCCTAGGCAGCCGCGAAGGCCCCAATAGTGACAGCCAACTGAGACAGGGCGGGGTTGGGGCACAGGGTCAAGCGCATGCCCACCCCAGCTCTCACCAGATGAAGTACCACCAGGTTGGAGTGCCCAGTGAGCCTGAAGTTACCAACTCAGTTCCCACCTCTGGTCACCCGCTGACCTCAGACATGTCCTCCCTCAAATCCAGGCATATCCGCTGCATCTTGCAGCAGAGGGAGTCTAAGATTGGGGTTCTCATGTAGGGAACCCCCAACCCAGGGACAGAGGCACTCCCATGGCCCTCCTGTCCCTGCCTAAGCACTGCGGGCAGACCCCAGCGGGCACGTGCGGCTCAGGAGGATGGTGGTACAGGCGTGGTGACTGACCGCATCCTCTGCCCCCTCCGCCAGAAATGATTCGCTCGGCCACGCCCTTCCCGCTGGTCAGCCTCTTCTTCATGTTCATCGGCTTCATCCTCAGCAACATCGGGCACATCCGCCCGCATAGGACCATCCTGGCCTTTGTCTCCGGCATCTTTTTCATCCTCTCCGGTAAGTGGCATCTAGGGCTCCACAGAGCCGCATTGGCCAGCCTCGGGCGTGGGACCCTCTGAGTGGGTGACGGTCAGCACCAGGGGAGATGGCCACAGCGCAGCCTCAGTCCATCTGGGAAAGGGTCTGGGCCGGCTCTCTGGGGCAGAGCTGGGACCCCATGACTCTTTTCCCCCGTTTGCTTTCCAGCTCCCACTGATAATGCAGGTTTGTGTGTGTGTGCATGTGTGTGTGTGCGCACCTGTGTGTACGTGTGTCTGAGTGTGTGCATGTGTGTGCATGTATGCATCTGAGCGTGTGTGCATGTGTGTGTACCTGTGTGCATGTGTGCACCTGAGTGTGTGTGTGTGTGTGTGCGTGCATGTGCACCTGTGTATCTGAGTGTGTGCATGTATGTACACACATGTACACCTGTGTGTACGTGTGTCTGAGTGTGTGCATATTTGTGCATGTATCCATCTGAGTATGTGCATGTGTGTGCACACATGTGTACCTGTTTGTACGTGTGTGTCTGAGTGTGTGTGTGCGTGTCTGTGGTGCGTGTCTGTGTGTTTGTGCATCTTAGTGTGTGCGTGTGTGCGTCTGAGTGTGCGTGCATCTGTGCGAGTGCGTCTCTGTGTGCATGTGTGCGTCTTAGTGTGTCTGTGTGTCTGTGTGTTTGTGTGTGCATGGATATGCAAGGCAAATATTCTACTGCCAAGCCACCTTCTGGGCTAATACTTCTATCTTTATTTAAAAGGGTTAAATCTTCCCACTCTCTTCTTTCTCTTTTGGGGCCACACCCAGCAATGCTCAGGGCTTTTTCCTGGCTCCACACTCTGGAATTGCTCTTGGCAGTGCTTGGGGGACCATCAGAGACGTGGGGGAGTGAACCTGAGCCGGCCACATCAAGGCAGACGCCCTGCCCACTGCCTTCTCACTCAGCCTTTGGAGCAGACCCCCTTCAGCTCCCAGCCTCCGTCTTTCTCCTGAGGTTCCTACCGCCCCTCTCTCTCCTGCCGAACCCACCGCCCCCCTCTCTCCCTCTTGCTTAATCCACAGCCCCTTTCTCTCCTGCCACAGCTGTGACTCCCACCTCCTGGTCTGCTCAATGCAGATGTGCTTGGCCAGACAGGTACCAGGCGGCTCCGCATCCTCCCTCACTCAGTGGCTCGTGAAAGCCACCAGGTGCGCGTGATGGGAGAGAAGCCCCCGGCAGGAAGGAGGGGGTCAGCAGGAATGGGGCAGAGGGAGCGGAGACTCACACAGGGGGACACTCCCGGGGCCGGGGGAGCCAGAGGGTGAGAGAGAAGCTCAGGGGGACGGAGGGGAGCGTGGCCAGATGGAAGGAGATGGTGCGGGAACTGAGTGTGCAGTGCTCCAGAGGCAGGAGGGGGCGAGGGGCGGGGCTGAGGCCAAGAGGAGGGGGAGGAGGAAGAGGAGGAGGAGGAGGAGGAGGAGGAGGAGGAGGAGGAGAAGCATGGCAGGAGGTGGGAAGGGAAGGAGGAGGAGGAGTGTGGCAGGAGGTGAGAAGTGAGGTGAGGGTGTCATGTCCCCCTAAATTTATTGATGAGGGAGGGACCTGAGAAGAGATACTTGGATGGAAGATGGATGGTGGAAGGAAGGAGGGGAGGGAGGGAGGGAGGAAAGAAGGAAGGAAGGGAGGAGGAGAAGCATGGCAGAAGGTGAGAAGAAAAGGAGGAGGAGTGTGGCAGGAGCTGAGAAGTGAGGTAAAGGGGGGAAGGAAGGAAGGAAGGAAGGAAGGAAGGAAGGAAGGAAGGAAGGAAGGAAGGAAGGAAGGAAGGACCAATTTCCCTGGCTTTAGCTTGGGCTCTAGAGGCAATCAGAATGGCCAACAAGCATTTCTTTCCCCTCCCACCCATCCTTCCTTTCCTCCTCTGTACATGGTTTTTCCAACCTCCCCATCCGTTTTCTTGTCCCTTGGTCTCTTCGTCTCCCATCCGTCCAGGAAGCCCTCCTGCGCAGGCAGCGTCCTGGGCCGGCTCTATGCATGGTCTTTCCCCTGGATGAGGCTCTTGCTCGTCTCTCTGAATGGCCCCAGCCACAGCCCCGCAGTGGCTCCCAGGCAGCGGCGTCTCCTTGCCCTCGGCTCTGGGCCCCGGCGTCTTCGCAGTGGCCATTGATCAGAGCCCACTGATAACCGAGTGGGCTCCTGGAGTAGCTGCCCGGACTTGGGTTCGGGGCCCAGGGAGACTTGGTGACCCCCTCGCTGCCCTTGGTGGTCAGCCCTCAAGATCACGAATCACGACTATCCTGTTATTCGTCGATTGCCTCGAGCAGGCCCCAGTAACGTCTCCTTCATCCTAGCCCTGAGATTATATTCAAGGCTCTTTAGGAGAATGAGACCCATCATTGTTACTGGTATTTGGCATATTGGGTACGCCACGGGGAGTTTGCCAGACTCTGCCCTGTGGGCAGGCTACATTCGATAGCCTGCAAGTTTGTCCAAAGTAGGAATGAGATAATAAGATGTCATAATAAAATTTGCGGCTGTGTGGTTCCGGGAGCTGGGTTTTATAGTCTCTGAGTCTTGGCCGTTGATGGGATTACACAGCGCCAGGGGGCCAATTGGTGGGTGTGACCCCCACCTACTGGAATTCGGAGGATCTGGGTGGAGGATGCTCAGCTCCGATCCGAGTAGGCTTGGAGATCTCAGCCCCAGGTCCCGCTTGCCTGTGTTCCTCTGCCAGTACCTTCAGGTGTGCGGAGAGTGGTCTCAGCATGGTGGTGGCTGGTCCTGGAGACTTGGTGACCCCCTCGCTGCCCTTGGTGGTCAGCCCTCAAGATGGCCTCGCTTAACCCGAGCAGCTTCAAATCGCGCTTCCTGCAGCCAACCTTGGGGCTGAGAGCAGGCCGAGCACTGACCCTTGCCCAGGGTGATGGACGGTCACCTCAATGGCTGTGGGTCTGTTTCACCCCAAAGAGTTTCACCAAACCCTCCCTGCCTGCTCGCAGGGTCCTGGGCCTAAGGGGGCCCAAGAGTGTCCCCTGGGAAGCAGGCACAGAGCCCCCGGGGCCAGGCCTGCGGCAGGGCAGGGGTCCGGCCCAGGGGGACTCGGGGGAAGGCGTGTCAGGAAGGAAGGCGCCAACCGGAGCCCCCCGACACCCCCCTCCCCGCAGGCCTGTCGCTCGTGGTGGGCCTGGTGCTCTACATCTCCAGCATCAACGACGAGCTGCTCAACCGGCCCCGGGATGCCGACACCTACTTCAGCTACAAGTACGGCTGGGCCTTCGCCTTCGCCGCCATCTCCTTCCTTCTGACAGAGGTGAACGCCTGGTGGGGGACGGCGGGGGGCCCTGGCCGGCCTCAGAGGGGTGAGGGTACCTGCATCCACCTGAGATGCCCCAACTCTCCCCCTGAACATGTGTCCTCCCCCGTGACCCCTGCACTCAGCATGTCTCAGGTGCCCACTACCCCCCTCCCCTGCACCGTGACCCCTGCACCCAGCACTCCCCAGGGGTCCAATTTCCCCCTCCCCCCTATGGCCCCTGCACCCAGCACGCCCCGGCCACCCACTCTACCCTCTGTGACCCCTGCACCCCTGCACCCAGCATGCCTCGGCCGCCCACTTTCCACCTGCCTCTCTTCCTGCCCAACTCCTGCGTCTTGGAGGTGCCCCGGCCCACCTCCCCCACCCTTACCTGGCGCCCCCACACACCGAGCCATCCCCCGTGTCCCCCCTGCCCGCAGAGTGCTGGGGTGATGTCCGTGTACCTGTTCATGAAGAGGTACACGGCCGAGGACCTGTACCGGCCGCACCCCGGCTTCTACCGCCCGCGGCTCAGCAACTGCTCCGACTACTCGGGCCAGTTCCTGCACCCCGACGCCTGGGCGCGCGGCCGCAGCCCCTCGGACATCTCGAGCGACGCGTCCCTGCAGATGAACAGCAGCTACCCCGCCCTGCTCAAGTGCCCCGACTACGACCAGATGTCGTCCTCGCCCTGCTGAGCCGTGGCCCCCGCCGGACACCTGGACAGCCCACGCTTCTCAGCTGTCCCTGGGCCTGGTCAGCCGCCCCCCTCCCCGTGTTCCTTCCCTGCCCTGCCCCACACCTCTTGTGACGGTCCCCAGCTGGTGTCTGACAGCTGCCGGCCGGGGTGTGGGGAGACACCCCACCTCCGAGTGGCCACCAATGTGGCTGACCGCTCTCCTCTTGCCACGGAAGGGGGTGTCCAGCCTCGTGTCTGTCCCCAACGCTCCTGTCATGGCCCCGGGTGCCAGGCCTGGCCCAGCGCTTGCCCCACTGGCAGCTTGCCCACTGGCCAGGCCGAATGTCTGTGCCAGAAGCCCGAAGAGGGGGTGACCTGGAATTCTGGCTGCTTCTAGTCCCCGGGCCTGACTCCAGGAAACCCTTGTCCCTCCAGCCCCTGCCTGCATCTGCACTCTGCACCCCCAGTTGGAACTGTTCCTCCTCCCCACCGGTCCACACAGCCACCACAGCCCTGATCCCTCAGGGGCCGCATGGGGGAGGCAGTCCAGGCCCCCTCAAATGACACCACTCAGAGGTGGTCATGACTAACAATGTCTTAATACACCGGATCCCTCGAGACCATCTTCTGGGAGGCCTCCGATGCCTTAACCCCAAGCCTCACGGCTGCGGGCGGGAGTGTCCAAACCCGGCCCCTGTGGCTACCCATTGCCTCTGGGCCTGGGCCGGGATTTGCAGCCCCTGGACCATTTCGGGAAACCTGAGGGGCAGGGGGCCGGCCTTTTGGGGACCCCTCGGGAGGGTGGGGCACTGGAGGGTGGCTTCTCCCTCTGTATCTTTGTGTGGACCAAGTGTCCCCCAGACCTGCTCCCCCAGCCTAGCTGTCTCTTCACTTTCCTAAGATCCGGAGTCAGGGGTCACCAGCCTGGAGGCCACACTGGGTGTGGGAGACACGCAGCCTCCGTGAGGGAACAGCGCATGCTCTCGCCGAGCCCCGGGCCCATGTGAGCAGGACCTCACGCCTCACCCCTGTCTCCTGGGCTTGCAGCTGTCATCTGTGCCCCCACCCCGTGTTGTGGCCAGTCAGAGCAGAGGAGAACGCGCCCTCCCCCACCCCCAGTTTTAACGTCATCACCAGCTTTAGCTTCAGGGGCCCCATCCAGGCAGCCCCGTCCTGGGGTACAGGAGGGGACGGTCCCACACAGGCCTGGGAGTCGCGAGTCCATACACACATCACAGACTCAGCTGAGTCTGGGGGTCGGACGGAAGGGGAGGGAGATCTCCTGTCCCCCGTCAGCCACTGATGCTCCACCATCCTCCACCCAGGGTCCCAATTTCCTTCCTTCCCTCTTCCATCACCATGGGCGCGTTCCAGAAGATTCCGAGTCCTCCCCCACACTCAGTGTCCGCGGCCAGCGTCTGTCCCCTGCGTGCTTCCTTGTCCCCCTCACACTCGTCTGTCACCGTGCAGGGCTTGCTTTGGTGTGTGTGAAATAGAACCCGCTCGTGCCAACCCCCGCCGTCTGTGACGTCCTGAGCTGCTTCGTCAGCCTTGGTGTGCGTCGGGGGCGGTTCCTGTCCTCTGGGAGCGAGGATAGTGTGTGCAGAGTCACACGCCAGGCCCGTCTTCGTCAGCTTCTGAGCGACCCTCAGGCCCGGGGCCTGTCTGCGGCTTCTCCACCACCTGAAGGGTCTGGTCAATGATTCAGGTGCAGGCAGTCAGCTCGGCCATCAGCACATGGGCGCCGTCTCTCAAACCGACGGGCCGCACCTTCCTTGCCATGCTGTAAGGGATATACTTATGGGTGGGAGAAGGGGAACTAGCTCAAAGGGGAACTGCATGTGCTTGTGCGCTGAGGGGAGGCCCAGGTCTGATCCCCACATCACTGGACGTGAATCCTGCCCCCTGGCACTGCTGGTGTGGCTCAGATGGCCCACGCTCACAAAATGGGGCCCAAAGATTAATAAATCAAGGTGCGTGGGCCCGGAGCGATAGCACAGCGGGGAGGGTGCTTGCCTTGCATATGGCCAAGCAGAGTTTGATCCCCGGCATCCCATATGGTCCCCTGAGCACCGCTAGGAGTGATTCCTGAGTGCAGAGCCAGGAGTAACCCCTGAGTATCCCCCCAAAAGTATGAGAAATGGGGGCTAGAAGCAGTCGGGGTCTCTAGCCATGCTCTCCTGGTTTCCTTCCATCAGGACTCACCCTCCTTCCACCCAACCGGGATTCAGGCCCACCCTGCACCCGGCCCCCAGAAAGCCTGCTGAGGAATGCTTTCCCCCTTAGTGCCACACGGGGAGTTAGTAGGTGGGTGTTGCCTAGGCCAACCTGTGTTCCCACCAGCCCCATGCGGTGCCAGGGCCCCTCCTCAATAATGCTCAGGTCTCTCCTTTCTCTAGACAAAAGGGGTGCCATCAGTTTCCCCAAGAAACAGACCCACACTAGGAGCTCACAGAAAGGGGTTTAGTGAGAGAAAATGGTGGCAAGGAACTGGACCATGGAGGGTGGAGGCTGGGATGCTCACAGTCTGATGGGGGAGGTCAGCAAGCCAGAGATCCTGACATCCAAGATCCCCTGCTGGTAGATTTACTCTTTATTCTGTGTGTGTGTGTTGTGGGTGGGGGGGGGTGTTGGGTGTGTGTATTGTTTGTTAGGTGTGTTTGTGTGTGTTGGGTGTGTTATGTGTGTTGAATGTGGTGCGTGTGTGTTGGGTGTGGTGTGTGTGGGTGTGGTATGTATGGTGTGTGTGGTGTGTGTGTGTGGGATAGTGTGTGGTATCTGTGTTGGGATGTGTGTGTTGGGTGTGGGGTATGTGTGTATTAGATGTGGTTGTGTATTGACACGGTGTGTGTGTATTGGATGTGATGTGTGTATAAGATGTGGTGTGTGTGTGGTGTGTGGTGTGGTGTTGGGGATGTGTGTGTATTAGATGTGGTGTGTGCGGTGTGTGTGTTGGATGTGGTAGTGTTGGGTGTGGTGTGTGTGTATGGTGTTGGGGATGTGTGTTGTTGTGTATGTGGAGGGTGTTGGGTGTGGTGTGTGTGTCGGGTATGGGGTGTGTGTGTGTTGTGTGTGCATTTGATGTGTTGTGTATGGTATGTGTATGTGGTATGGGGGGTGTTGGTGTGTGTGTGTGTGTTGGGTGCGGATTGTGTTTTCAGCTGACAGGCAAGGCCGCAGAGTGAGGAGAGCAGTGGGGGTTGCCTTGGGTCTGCTCTACCAAGCCTGTGATTGAGGCTTCAGTCAGACCACAGCCCCTGAGCCCCTTCACAGAGCCACAGTAATGCTCCAACAAAGACGTTTCCCAGAGAACAAACTCTCACTGAGACATGACTGGTGGGGGACGGTGTTCAACCCTGGGTCTGCAGAGTGGGTGGGGGAGGAGTAAAAAGCACATTCTGTGTGTCCACGTGGGCACGGTCACATGCACACACACACATACACACGCATGGACCTGCACCCCTCACTCACACGTGCGCGCTCGCCCAGGGTCCCTCATCATGGTTCGGTCTTTCTGGTGACAGCCCCCACCCCCGAGTCTCAGGAGCCCAGCCAGAGCCACCTCATTATTGCCCAAGGTCCAGCTCTCACCCCGGAAGCTCTGGGGCACCAGGTCTGGCCTCAGGACCCAGGTCAGAGCCGCAGAAGCAGAGATGCACCCGGCGGAGAAGCAGGGATGTGCCCGACGCTCTTTGCAAAGTGGTTCCAGAGGCGCCTCTGAGGGGGTTCCTGCCTGTCCCGTTGCTTCACACCACGTTGGAAATCGCTGCAGAGCCAACTGTCACGGAGTGCCTCCCTGAGATGGGCCACTCGCGCGCCTTGCTGGCTAGCGGCAGGGGGGAGGCACGCTGTGCGAGCGAGGGCTGTCTGGGAAGGAGCCCCAGGTTCATCCAAGCACCCCAGCAGCCCCCCGCCCCCCAGCAGAGCCCTTGCGGACAGGCTCAGGCCGAGGCAGGAGGCTTCGGCACATGCCAGCCCACGGACCCCATTTCCCGCTGACTCCTGGGACCTCAGAACGAGAGGCTTGTGGGAGGCCGTGGGCGGGGGACCCCGGGAGTCTGAACCTCGTCTGCTGCCGAGGATGGGGTGGCTATTTCTGTTGCCTCCACAGAACCCTGCCAGCTGCACCGGGCCTGGGAGGTGTCAGGTGAAAAGTGGGGCGTGAGCAGATGCTGCATCGCCTCATGGGGACGTGGGTTTAGAAACCGGAATCGACAGTGTGACTCGGTATCCCCGGGGGCGTCCCAGGAGCCCAGCGGGGAGAGAATGGCAGAGTGCAGACCCCACCGAGGGGTGAGCACCCCCCTCAACCCCAAGCAGCAGCACCCCCTATTTTCCCCCACCTCGGCTACACCAGAGAAACAGAATCCATGGAAAACTCGCGTGGATGAGTAAGTCCCTGGCAGGGCTTAGGAACGGAGGAGGAAGGGAAGGTTGGTTCTGCAGCGCAGAGGGGGTGGGGTGGGGAGGAACACCCCAGTGGGGGGGCCCTGAGCAGGTCCTCAGAGGATGGAAAGGGGAAGCCAGGTGCAGTTCACCGTAAATCCTGAGGTTCTCACCGCTGAACCCCAAGATCTGCGTCGGCAGGCTAGGACAAAAGTTCCTGCTAGAACATTCTAGAAATGTTGACTGCACTCCGCTGTTTTAACTTGCTTGCTTTCCTTCCTTCTTTTCTTTCCTTCCTTCCTTCCTTCTTTCTTTCTTTCTTTCTTTCTTTTCTTTCTTCTTTCTTTTCTCTCTTTCTTCCTTCCTCCCACTCTTTCTTTCTTTCTTTCTTTCCTTCCTTCTTTCTTTCTTTCTTTCTTTCTTTCTTTCTTTCTTTTTCTTTCTTCTTTCTTTTCTCTCTTTCTCTTTCTTCCTTCCTCCCTCCCACTCTTTCTTTCTTTCTTTCTTTCTTTCTTTCTTTCTTTCCTCTTTCTCTCCTCTCTCTTTCTCTCTCCTCTCTCTGGAGAAGCCAACCCCGCCTCTTGGGCAGTTTCCCTAGAAGCACTTCCCTTTGTTTCTGAAAAAGCAAGGATTGTTGAAGAC